CCCAACAACCAAGCAGTCCCACTCACCCCCAAATTACCCAACAACCGAGAGAAAAACTTGACGAGGTGAAAATTGTAACGTCAACCGTTGTAGAGAGCTATTAAACAACGCTCTTCCCCCAAAACACGATATCTTCTCCATCAGAAATGGGCAACTCTAGCGCGTCTATAGCGAACTTGCCTGGAACATTGTACACTATATACCATTGACATCAGATACGAAGCAAACCAAACCACATCGGACCACTTGCGAATCTGCTCAGTTGCGGTTTGACACATTGGTGTTAGAACCTGACAGCAACTTATCCAAGGAGGTTTATACTGCGGACCTTGACGTATCGACTAAGCGCTTTAACTAAGCTAATATAGACGCCAAAAGTTTCTTAAAAGGCAATTGCTGATCCTATAGAATTCGATCACTTTGCTCACCCACCCACTCGGGGAGAACCTTGGTTCAGAAGAAGTAGACAATCCGAGATGTGGGGCAGCATTGCGTCGCCAGTCGGGTCTGTATTTCATAGTAATAATGTGCACGCCTTCCGTATTGTACTGTGCATTGCATCGCGTCATGTCTTTTCTCTGTTTGCATGTAGAGAGCGTTTATGGTTAGAAGGTTGTTATTACCTCTTTGTGGTATGATATTAGTGGGTAGGTGCCGCTCAACTATGAAAAAGCAGAAGTTAGAACACCTAAGTGTGTTTGTCATTATTCGCCTAGCACCAGTGCGCTCGATAAGCTTCGCAGGTTATTCACAGTCTGTGAAGAACTGGTCGTGCGTATTATGCGCCGTACGCACAAAAAACACTGCGCGCATGTGCTCCATCCCAAAGCTTAGGATATCAAAAGGCAAAAGTACTGCAGAGCAAGAGATTTTAGTCTTCATCACAATGAGTCCGGGGTTCTGCAATGAGAACGGATTATTATAATGCAATCTGTTGCAATAGCTACTTCTCCCCTGGGGACGTTTGGCGTAGTATTTAAATTAAAATCAACCAGTTTTGTTACCCGTTGTGCACAATTGTAACACACGCATGGACATAACCAACGTAACGCAAGTAATTAGAATATAATAGCTACAATTAATAATCCTAGTTTAAGAAATCGTGAGGGTGTGTTTTGGGGAAGTAATTTGACGAATATGTTTTCTCACATGGCTTCCTATTCTTAAACATTTTATTCGCATTGTCCATCAACACTGCGTCTTTCCAACTTTTGTCTCCCCTCATAAGGCGTTTACGTGAGGCAGTCATGTCACCTTGGGGTTGATAACTAGTTTCCCAAAACAACTGCAGTGCAGCGAGAGTTGCGACACTTTGATGGGCAGTGTAGCGAGTGATGCAATACTTTGATGGGATTCACGTGCCCTGCAGAATTCTCATCAGAATGAAAAAGGAAGTTCTGTAGGTTAATATCAATGGCAGGTGGTGTGTTTTGACTCCAGATTGTTTCAAGGCCTTCGGACACATTCAGCAGCTTCGCAGAATTCGTAAATGTAGCCAGAAGTTTGACGGATATTAAATAATTAGGTGCCTTAACAAATCAAAATATAAGTCTGCGAGTTTCAACAATACGTCTGCCAAACACTGTCGCCTCATTTTGCTTTGCCAGTCAAACTTCCAATGTGTTTTCGCCATTATAGGTGGTAATGGGCATTTTATGATTCGCCAAATGAATCATTCATTAGACTAGCAATGTAAATGTTAACCACACTTTCAAAGTTCGACAAAACAAGTTCATGGAGGCTGTCATTTTAAATCGAATGTCACGGCCAATGATTTGGACACATCCAAGGACTGTCACGGTATGCGACTCGCACGTGTTGTATCAAAATAAACGCCTCGTTGGCGGGAACTAGCCGACCAGGCCCACGGCAAATGCACTGTGAAGGAGGCGATGCATGACAATGCTTATTTGAACAAATCTATATGCATGGTAGACGACCAATGACATAATTGATACCAGCGTTCGCTCGCTTAAGCTTTTAATTTGGGATAGGAAAGTTTAGGCTAAATGGGTTGAAGATTGCAAATGTAGAAATTGTGGGCCTATTAATGTTCTTAGTACCTTGATTCCGCTGTACTGGCTAAAAATGGTACAACCACTACGATACCTAGCAATGACTCTAATGTGAAAAAAGCTCTACGTGCATCAGGTATTGTTCACTTTTTATGATTTTGATTTTAGTGATGGGGAACAAGACAAAAAAATTCCCAGGTTCCCACTAGGAGTCATAAAAGACTTTGTTAGTCGCAATTGAAAATAGAAGTACATCGTAAACAACTTTTGAAATCATGACTGGCTAGTCAAACAAGTTTTCTGTTGGCTTACATATTAACTATTCTCTCATCCGACCACTTTACGAAATAACAAGCCAGTTACTGGTAAGTCTTTATAATAAAAAGTTCAACCTACAAAAATAACAAGCAGTAACCAGAAACAGATACTTCAAAATATCAGTTGATACGCACTTCACTTCAAAAACCAAAGAACAAACATTGCCGGGAGGGAGGGAAACTTTAAACATTATTCAATATCCATTCTGTTCCGATGGCTTTTGCCAAGGTTCCTAATTCCATTGGTAAACGAGCACAACTACAAGGTTTATGATTACCACCTGTGTATATGGAAGCTTATTGTAAGAGCACTGGATTATTTCCATGTGGGTTTATCACAAACTACCAGAACAAAAGGATTTCATCAGCAGCATACATGCACTGGAAAAAAGGACATTGCCAGTGTTTGAGGATGTTTGAGTCTAGGCAAAGTGAATTGGATAGAATGAATCTCTTGCGACCATTTTAAGTGATCGCGACCATTTTCTACAGAAATTCTACCTAATTCACAAAGTATTATATACTTGTATATAATACGTTGTCATTTCGATCCATATAAATTTCGTCTACACTTCTACACGACATGACACCAGCTGAGCAAAGATAACTGGACGAAATTTATACCATAATAATGACTTTAAAAGAATGTTAAATTATCAGTCCATAGTTGGAAGCCATCATCTCCCGGATCCGCATCTACGGGGTCCGGAAATTAACTACCCGATGCTCATTTTCACTTTCGGTTTGAACTTTTCTTTTCTTTCGATGGCCTGCAGTTATTAAACTGTCATTCTGTTCTTGGGTCAAACAGTGAACCGTAAAACGTAGTTAACTTACACTTACCAATACACTAGAACACAAAGTCAACAGCAGCATTTCGCCTGGTATTATACCACCAGCTCTGTCCTAATTAATCAAGACAAATTTGACTGATTACTGGTCATGTATTTAATTGTTAGTTTAAAAAAGAACAGTATTGGTACTTCTCACTTGTAAGGGTTGTTTTGGCGGTTTTTGCTAGTCTCGGGGGTTGCAGGGCCCGAGGTAAGAGTGCCCCGTAAGCTACCCGATGAGAACAGGTGCTTCCCGCTAGGACGGCCCGGGGGTCGTATTCCTGTTGTTCATAACCACAGGCTTAGGTTTATTTTAGCCTACTGATTATAATCAGTTTGATTATTATCAGAAGGTATCTCGTTTCTCGGTAATTGCCAAAATAAATCCAAGTCACACTTTGAATTCGTATCTAAGTTGCAATTTGGATAATCGCTGAAGTGGTTTTTAAACTCTAGTAATCAAAGAGGATACTCGACAAGGTCTTGTATTAATGTTTAAATACTTTGCTCACCAAATGTTATTTACGTTTTGCCCAATTCAGTTTTAATACATTGACTTAAAATAGGCTCATTATGAAAATATATTGGTGCAAATAAACCTGACTTATTCTGCCATGTTTGTAATCTTTTCTATTAAAGAATTAAAAGCTGATTCTTTTAACTCTGACCGTTCTCTGAAGTAAACTTTACGTATACTACTCGAGAAAGAGTCAGTGTGATGTGTTTAAAAATCAACAGCAAGTTAACTTAATCACTCATTTTCAATCTTGACAAACTGCAATCTATCGTCAATGAAGGGAACCACATTTACTGATTTTTAATTTATATCGTTTACTGCGAGAAGCAAGCCTAATTGCCAGGCCTTGAGACCGAGGTGTGTCGGTGTTTTCAAGTCCTTGTGAGGCCACAAGATACTTCCTCTACCCCGGCGGGTAGCCCGGAGCGCTCGGCAGAGTGCGTGCAGGGCTTCACCGCTCAAGGTTGGGCCGCTGTTTGGACGGCAGTTGTTGCAACCTGTGGATGTTTTTACAAGCTTGGAAAGAGTTGCGAAATTCTGATTTGGTTGTGACATGTGACATAATGGTATCACGGTCATGCATGGGATAAAAGAAATCCATCACAGTGGTATAAAGTGCAAAACTCACACTGAATAATTGCCCTATCAAGTTTTTGAGGATTTTTCTGTTGAAATATTGTTTCATCGATTTGCCGAAGTTCCTTACTCGATCTTTTAATTTTTAAACTGGCAAAATCGGGTAAGCAAATTAAAATCCTTAAATAGAAAAGACAGACATCAAACTAGCTGTTCGAGTTTATTTTGAAATGGCTTTAATTGTGACTGCTTGATTACATGAGTAAACTCCACCTCAGTGGACCTACTGTGGGGCACTGAATCAAATCTCTTGAGGGCGCTTACCATGCACTCCTCGTTGGGTGTTGTCCGGGATCCAGACGATTTTGTAGTTCCCGGGGACTGGGAAAGGTGGAAACATCGGAGAAGATGGAAATGATGTTACATTAATTAAATTACTAACCATGATTGAGAATGTTTAGACTTAGTGTACCTATCAGCACACCTGTCGACTAGAGAACCCACCTTCCCCCAGTTTTTGAGGGACCGAACTGTGCCACGCCCACTGCAGTTGTACCTCCGAGTGAACTCTTTAATATCAAGTAGCACAGTGTACCTATGTAAAAAGTAGCGAAGCTGGTAACTGTCATAACTTTCTGCTCATATCCTCTGCGTGCGTAGATTGACCTGTGTAATAACAGTGACCTCTGAGGTCAAGCAGAGGTCACGGGCCAGACATCATACTGCATTGTGCTCCGTGGGTGTCAGAAGGAGGCGAGTGTGTGTTCTGATTAAGTTTCGTCTCCGCACGAGTTGGTTTCTTCAAGCACCGCTAACACGTGTTTCTGTCACCGTTCGGGGGAACTTCACGACGGTGCGAGATGACAAGAAACAAATCCCGTCACAAACATCACCAAAAAAGGAAACAGAAAAGTCTGATAAGTTTTAAACTCCACGGGTCAAATTAAGGTGGCGAGTCGAGCGGTGTTATCCCCCCAACTCACTGATAGTAAAACACCCATGGGAGCTGGCAACTTCTGACATCTGCCCTGATTCTGATAAAATAGGGGAGTCGGGAAGGATGCGTGGTACAGGAGCTCACAACTGAGCAACCTGGTGTGGTGCTGAGGGTTCGTCCAGTGTTGGAACTATCTCTCTCTTATGACCTAAATTCGACAAGTGACCATAAATGGCCGGCAAGCGTGAAGAGGGGTGTGTTTCGAACACACGTGTACATGTACTAAACATCCTTTAGACAACACCCCGTGTTGCATGCAGGTTAATTTGCAGCAACCCCAAGAACAGAGCAAGGTAAGAGCCAAGATATGACTATGAGTTGAGTGAGTCCAGGAGGGAAAAAAGCCAACTCATCACAACAGACAAAACAGATGCGAGAAGGAATGAACTCAAGACCGCCGAAATACACCTCTTCCACCCACCCCTTCCCCGAGGAGACGCTTGCCAAATCCACCTTGCCTCCCCTACCAAGCTCTGAATCCTCCCACTGATATATCTGTCAACACGGGGTTTATTCTTAAACAACACGAGATGATCCGTTACACGACAGCCCTTTACCCGAACAGGGACCCAAGGTCCAAGCGGTATTGAGACAGGTGAAAAGGACGGGATGGGGGGATTTAGCTTAACCTGGATTCCATAGGTCAGCCAGACGAACCGAAAAACGAGTCGAGATTTGAAAGGATGAGTAATAAATAGTCTGGTGCAGGAATTAAGCAGCAGAAAGGACAGGTGGCCTAGGACAGGAGGTTTCTTATTAACGGATTTAAAGGGTGATAGTCTTCAGATATTGGAAACTCAGTCACGCTCATAATAGTCTGGTCTGATTTTACGTTGGCTCCAAATGCACATGGGCCTACATGGATACGCATGCCTGATGCCACAATGCCTTGCAAGTTCACATACAAACGAAATTCCATGATTCGAATTTTGTGGTTCATTAAATCTTTGGGTCAGTCAATTCCGTTGGCGATTCCGAAACAAAGGGAATTAAGAGACGGGAGCTCAGATTTGTTAACTACATCTCCTGAATGTATCGGTAAAGCTGTTGTACCAAGAAATGTTTGACCTAAGTTTTGTTTTCTACCGTGCCACGAAGCTTCAAGTAGAATTGAAAGAAAAACATATTAAAACTAACCGCTGGGATAGCCATGTTTGCAAGGAAACACACTGTCAATATTGTGCAGGTTAACATAGATCATTTACACTAGTTTCCTTCGGTGAGCACCTCGCGACTATAAAGACAACTTGTCTAATTTTTGACTTCCAAACTGCCACAGTTCCAAAACTCGGATCCTTTTATTTTTAGGTAAAGCACCAGCACAATCAAGAGTGCATATTTTGATGGCTACATTTGCTTAGAATTCTGCGCGGTACTGCCAGGTGACGCGTGGTGGATACAAGATAGGGGGTAGAAGGCGTTTGAGTGCCGTCTTCTAGAAAATCAGTCTTCCGTTATGCTCGAAGACGCTGCAATCATATCTAGGAATGCTCGCCCCAACTTCCAAACAAACGACCCGTTACGAAACGCCCGAGCATTAATGAGAAACATTACACCCAAACCTGCTTCTTTGGAAATATCGAGCCCCTTGGGACTGTCTGCAGGGGATGTTGCTTGGGAAAATCCGGCCGGATTATGTACCTCTTTCACCCATGCGAGATGCTGGCTCTCCCCGCATGTCTGACCAAGAAGTGGGATGTTTCCCCTTGTAATTACTACGCACTACGCGCTACTTCCCGATCTAAGCAGTGTTACGTGTCGCATCAAACACGTCAGGTGGACCCCAACTCTGTACAAATAATAACCTGATATTTCATGCCTGGTTTCTTGGCCCTCTGTAAAGGGAAGCGCAGTACTTCAAGGGAGAGGCACTTTCCAAGCATTGATTGCCAGAAGATGCATTAGCCTGTTGTAAGAGAACGTGGCCTGGCAGGGAGTGCATTCCATTGTCTAAGATATCTTTAATCTAAGACACATTTTTCATCTTGTGCATTACAAGAGAGAGAGAGAGAGCATTTCATTGACAATGGAAACCAGGAATGAAACCGACTATTCAATGCAAGCCTACCGCCAAGCTAGTCAACAAACTTGAAGCTAACAAACCACACCGATGACCAATTCTGAGTCAAATAAACCCGAAGTGCACACACGACTTGGGACAAACTGACCCACCGAACATCAAACAAATCAACTCCCCAACCACGTACACTGTACTTCTCGATTTCGCCAGACATCAACAAGCTCCCGCGAATTATGATTTATATTCATGACGATTCCTGATTCTGAACTAAACTCCATCTATCAATGTTTTCCTTCAACATATAGGTCAACCAATAATCGACACCAATACTATAGGTGAATGATGGAAGGGTGCCACCAGCAGAATAGCCGTGTCAAAGGTCACTTGCCATACTGGCAGCGACCGATGAGGGCGCTACCACTACTAGCAGATGCAACACAATACGGTAGGTAAACTGACCTTTCAAAACTTAACTCCAAACTAACCAATTGAAGGGCTAGATTAGCCATCGCGTGACATGTTTTCCTTTTTTATCAGCATTTTGGTGTTTTGGTACGAAATCTCAATCCAATCACTCTCGCAAGGTTTTATTGCAAAACTTCAAGCTCATAACTGAGCATCCATAAAGCAATACTATTCTCTGAAACCCACCAAGAACACATTGACGAAGACCAGTTGGATTTCAGTCGAGAGACCTGACATACACAAGAACAAGGCTAATGTTTCCTGATCATCATCACATAGATTTCAATGGACGACCTCTGAATGACAGTTAATCCTGGACAGCTTTATGAGAGAAGTGTCAATTCCAAGGCATTCGGTGACATGACATCCCTTCTTTGCTGTCTTTCATCTCTGTGATTTTTCTCAGCTGAAAGATTCTTAAACTCCACAATCTAGAAAGTTCATTGTCCTTTATCGTTTCATGTTAACATTGCCTCGTACTTCTCCTTAGCGGAGATGGTAATTCTCCTCATACATGTGCGCGCATGGATTCACTGCGGGCCACAATCTAAAAGAATGGTGCTTACGTTGTTATGACCCACTTTATGTTTGTCTCCCACAATTCCCACTGGATACTAGACTGTGTCAAAGATGGCGGCATTAACGTGCGTTAGCCTCACTCCTGAAACTCTCCATGGATAACCTGTCCTTATTTTTCACCTGGAACGTTAGCCGCGAGTTCCCTCCCCCCCCCAAAAAAAACTGACACCGACACTACCATCAGGTATCAACTTTAATTGACCCGTGCATTTATTTGAATTATCAACGCTGGGGTTACAGCGGAAGCAGTGCCGGTCCCCCGTGCGCTCGGAGCTGTCCCCGTCAAAGGGGGTAACTCCGGCCGAGTCGTGCCGGGGTCGTCAAGCGTTACCCGGGGGACAGTCACGGGACAGTCTTGTTCACTGGAACCCCATCTCTCTCAGTTCCCTCGTTACACCGCGGAATTTCAAAGTTTTGACAGATATAATTACAACCACATCGCTATTTCGACGTTTGTTAGGATCTATCACATGTGTTGTGGCAAGGGTGGCCGAGGACTGCCGCCACTGAAATACTTAGCAGTATGAAAGAAACCAACAGGTGCGTAAAAGCCGACAACTGGGGGTTCTCGTGACACAGTGGACACCTTACCCCATTTCCAGACACCCTTCGGAACAGCCACAACTGAATCGTCAGTAAACAACACATCCCAAGTCATATAATTATATAACATGTACAATGTATCTGTCTCCTGTCAAAACCATGACCTTGTTGACAATGTGATTGTACAAGTTCGCTGAAACTGCACACCATCGCCGTCATACAGTACCCGATTCACATAACAACCAAATATCCTTAATCGATCAACTCCAGATATGTTCGATCAAGCAGGGCTCCGCTCAAGAAACAAATGGGAATCAAACATGCACATGAATTAACACTCGTATTGTTAGACATTTCTAATACCATACATTTCAAGACTTCCTCAATTCGTGAGAATTCCCAGTTTGGGCCATCAAATCAGACAATTAAGTGGCTTGCTTGAATACCCTGCGAATATTACCAATATGAATCATTGTGACACCGTAACAATTCAACGACTTAGCAACCGCGGAAGAGCTTAATAGTCTCTGCCCAATTCATGCCTCCGTCGAATGGTTGGTTGGGGTGAAGAGTCCAACCAGACAGGGGAGGTATCCAACTCATTTCACCCTAGTAATCACGTTAGATATTATTTGAGGTATTGACACCGTTTAATGGATTGATTGATGATAGAGGAGGGAAGGAGATTAGGGGTCACGGTGGGGTCAAACAGACACTGTCAACACAATTCAATTGTCTGCTAAGAAGAGCCTAGAGGTAAATCATAAATCATTGGCACTGGCTCATCGACAGAGAAACGTCTCTTAGTGATAATAGGGTTTATAAAAACGAGTAAGATCGTTTTTATGCCGACGCAGAAGCATGAAACAATATTTGTGTTCAATAAAAGATCAGAAAAATTGCATATTAAATTTGAACTTTAGACGATGCAACAAAACAGTACAAATGAAACATTTCCGAGCAATGTGTTAATTTGGTTAGAAAATCTGACAACTTCTTTACATTTACAGGCGTGAGGAAGTCTTACAAGTACATGTAGTTCTAAAAAATAATCACATTATGATTATTCCATTTATTGAAACAGCATGCAATGTCATGTTGACGGCGTGGAACGCAATAATCTAGCTTCCATAACTCGCACAAATAAAAATGTGCAGGTGCACGACGTTGCGTGCACTTTACTTTGTGAAACAAAGATATTCAGTCAATCATCCGACCTGTTCGCTTTACTACGGCCAAAGAGCCGACCTGAACTAAAACCCCAATGATGTGGTGGAAATTGTTCGCATAAAGTTATGTCTGCCGGACAAGAAAAGTTGGTGTCTTCAGTGGGTGTTTTACTGATGTCATACAGGGCGGAAAAATGGGCTCAGCTGAGTCTGTCTTTGCAGATAATCGACCTGTAAATGTGGTATTACTCGCGCAGGTTTTGTGAGAAGTAAGAATACATGGAACACGGAGGGAGTCAGGTGCGTCTCCAATCACATTTATTACACAACCACCACACCAGTGACCAACTTGGGTCGATTGCAATATGTTGAGGGAAAACTTTTGGTTCAATCGAACTCCTGGACGGAATTTAGAAGACATTCTATGAGACGTTACAAAGAGGGAAATTTTCCTTGTGCGACGGTCAGTTTTCATACGCTGGTTATTTGTATTTGGGAGGATTAGAGCGCGTGTTTATAGCTTTACAATAACATGGTACATTCAATTCAATAAAAATCTCATGAAATATCAGTGTTCACCAGCTTCAGGTACCGCTTGCTTTAACTATTATCATCCACATGTCTTAGGTTTCTTAGCAAGGGGGAATATCTGTCAGTAGAGAACTGGTAATGAAATTAAGAGGTTGTAAGTTCTCAGAGGCAATGGGAAGATTACCCCCACACACCGGCGCAGCACAACCAGCTAAGTTCCGCTGGGGTTACTAGCAGGCGAAGCCTCAAGACCCGGGTTAACTCCGAGCTGGCTTGGTCCAGATCCCCCTCGAATCTAAAAAACATTCGGTGATTTATCACCCGATATTATCGTGGGCTCAATCAAGAACATGTAACGCTATACTGCCACTCAATTGAAAACTTCATGTTTGGTATGTCCTTTTAATGCAATTGTCTGGGCCGGTTACACGATGTCGATAAATTGTACACCAGATATGCCCCCATCGATCGCGTAAGAATTCACAACTCATATGCCCGTTCCATTAAATGCTGAATATTCGAATTCGGGTCAAGAACACAAATAAACAGTTTAAACTTTTCGTGTTTTCGTGTGCAATCATTGACCATTCCACTAATATGATCAATAAGATTGGGGAATCAACTTCAGCTTATAAAAAATTGAACTTAGGTCTACATGTGGAATTATTTCATAAGGTAAAAAACTTATAAAAACAAAATTTCAAGACGAGAAATCACAACTTTTACATTGAAATACTTTATACGGCATTCATCTGCGGCATAGAAAAAGTTTAGAAAGATATGTTTCCTAAAATCAAAACAAACTTTGTAGCATTGCAAAAAGAGAGAGGAATTAGCGGTAACCTGCACAATTTCTGCAACACAAGTGATTTGATTAAACCCCATTTTGATTTTTGACGTCATAATGACTCGACTAATTCACTACTGCTTTCTCAGATATGCCGAAGAAGTACTGCTCTTTAATATTGAGTGTAACCACGATCATGGTCATTCAAGGAATCGATTTGGTAACTACAAATTCGACATCCCAGGTCCTCCGGCCAACGCGGTTACTTTCAATGCGAGTGACTGTAAGTCAGAGTCGTTCTCTTACAATCATATTGATGTTGTTCTCGTGCCTCATGTGACTTTTACAGCACAAGAGTTCCATCTGATGTCCTAAATGTTTAGTTTGAATAACAAAGATGCCTTAAACCTATGGTATCTTTGTAATTGTTTCTAATGTCTGTTTTCCGTGGTTACCCCTGTATAAGGTAAGTATGCTCATATCTGAAACAATCTGATAATTCCTTTGGCGTTCTTGGTTAAGGCGACTTTTGTTACCGGTTGTCCTTCAAATCAGCCTGATTACCTCAATTTAATATCCAACCTTGAAACGAAAATGCACGAACAAGAGTACTAAAAGTTCAGCTTTATTTGAACTGTGGTCAATCCGCGACGATTGTTTCCGTTGTTGGAGCCGCTAGTCCTGCGTGGTTCAGTCCCGTATACCGAACAGTCGCGACGCACACGCTAGGACCTAACCGCCTGAATAAATACAGTCAAGGTTACACAAATAAAACCTTCCAAATTCTCTCAATTAATGTTCAGTTAAACTGCAATTTTTGTGGTAAGTAGCTTTTGTTCTAGCCTAAAGAACTCTGGATAAACATCATAATGAAGCAGGCCGATATTTGGTTAGAACTTTTGACATTTTAACCGGCTGCAGTTAAACTTGACTCTGCCGTCTGTCGCTTAAGCGCCAACCCTGAATTTGTTTTTCTTTTTACTTGTTCGCAGGTCTATCGTTCTTTGTAAAGCAAACAATTACAGCTAAGATAGGGTCTACCTGGAAGGAACGCTCTTCTTCCAAAGGGCATTGTGGACTAAGCTAGTCACTACCAAATTGCAAAGTTTGGTTTTATACAAATTGTGTTATAAATTAGAAGTTGATCAGGAGAAATTGTTCCGGTGGAAATGAACAGTTTCTACATTTTGCGACAAGTGTGCCTGAACATCAATCGATATGTGTTCCGTGTTTATGCTCATGTATGGTGCAAATTACAATTCTAGCAGCTGCAGGTTCTCAAGATAGCTCAAGACCTGCAATGTGTTTCTAATGACGACGTAACAAGGATTCCTTGTGGAGTGAATTCTGCATTTGATCATAGTTTACCGA